GCCTATGTACAAAACTTTACATGTCAATCAAATTATCCACAAGGTTTGTTAATTCCTCCACAAAATAAATAGAATGACCTCATAACAAAAAACTAAGGGTTTGGAAGTATTTATTCTTAACGATATCAAAACCATCAACATCCTCCACCCCATCAAAAGCTTTCTTATTCTTCTCATTTTGTACCATCCAAAATATAGTAAGAGGGATAATTTCCACATGCTTCCTACGACTACTGTAGAAAATGTTAGAATAAGGATAATTTAGTATTTACTCTTTCTGGACAGGTGAATGTCCACCATCACCACCAAAAATTGATTATGTTTGTTGCTTATTTTTCCTTTTTCTATTTTTCTCTCACACCCTCACCTTTGGTGTGACATCAGGGCAATAAGTGCCTATAAATGACACCTTACCCTCTCTATTTTAAGCAAGCAAGAAAGAAGAGAAGAACCTCTCATTTTATCTATCTCAAACTTTGCTTCTATTAAAATCTTCATGGTATTATAGCGCCTTTGATCTAGAAATCTCCTTCCATCTGCGCCAGATTCTTCAATGGCCACGGATGACCGAAACTCTTCATCATCCGAAGTTATTTTGGGTACGTATCTCCCCAACTCCATCAACACTGGAATGGTGGAGTAACATTCCACGTTCATACCACCGATCGACTCAATTGTGATAATTACCTCCAATAGTCAACGTCTGTGCGGCTATTCATCCGAGGGAAAGGATGCGATGAATATCTCACGGGAGAAGCTGCAGGACCTCCATCGAATGACCCACATGCTCGGACTTGGAAAATCGACAACAGCACGGTCATGTCCTGGTTGCTAAGCTCCATGATTCCTGAAATCAGTAAAAATTTCCTCTTATATGAGACAGCTCACGAAGTCTGGGAAGCTGCTCGTGAGTTTTACTCCAGCCACGAAAACACCTTAGTAATTTTCGAAGTTGAATCCACCATCCATGAGCTGCGGTAAGATAAGCTGAACGTTACTCAATATTATAACTCTCTCACCCGCAACTGGCAGCAGCTCGACGTCTTCGAAGATCATCAATGGAGCTACCCAGAAAATGTTAAGAAATATAGAAAAATTGTGGAGTAGAAAAGAATCTTTCGGTTTCTCATGGGGCTCAACAAAAGTCTGGATGAAGTGCAGGGCCGAGTTCTAAGCACGAAACCACTGATGGGTATTCGTGATGTCTTCTCTGAAGTTCCGCGAGAAGAAAACAAGAAGAAATTGATGTTGGGAGAACCTCAGTCAACTCAGCTGAGTGAGAATGCTTCTGCTCTTATTTCTTGCGTCTCTGATTCCCGTGGAAAGAAAGAGCGTCCGTTCTGTGAGTTCTGCAAAAAGGCAGGGCACATTCGTGAGAAGTGCTGGAAGCTTCATGGGAAACCAGGAGAGATGAGGATCACCAAGACACCTCACGAAAACTTAGCAACTTCGAAAGAACCCTATGTTCAGGCCGAGAGTGCTCCCTTTAGTCCATAACAAATGGAGGCAATGGTGAAGCTTTTTTCCTCGAAAATGGGAAGTCTAGGTAATTCCTTTGCCTCTGTTGCCCAAAAAGGTAAATACCCATTTGGTTTATCAGCATGGTTCTATAAAAAACAGATTTGGATTGTGGATTTTGGGGTATCTAACTATATGACAAGAAATTAGTCCTTGCTCGGTGATTATCTTAAATGTAAGGAAGATTTATTAATTAAAATTGCTGATGGTTCAAGTTCTAGAGTGGTAGGAATTGGCTCCACAAAAATATCATCCTACTTGACACTTAACTCGGTTTTTTATGTGGCTAATTTGAATTGCAATCTACTGTCCATAAGTAAATTGTGTAAAGACATGACTTGTATGGTGAAATTTGACAATCATTCTTATGTATTTCAGGACTTGGTTTTGGAGAAATCGATTAGCAATGCTAGGATGGATTCAGGTTTCTACTATCTTGCATTTGACCCACCTACCTCAAATAGACAAGCTTTTAATGCTGTATGTATTAATTCGGTTTCTATAGATTGTTCAAATGATGATCACACAATTATGTTATGACATTATCAATTAGGCCATCCAAACTTTTATTTTAATGTGAAGTGTGCCAATTTTCAAAACACGCTTGCAATTCTTTTCCTAGTATATCATATAAACCCACACAACCATTTGCTCTAATCCATAGTGATGTTTGGGGACCTTCACGAGTCAAAACTATTATTAGAAAAAAATGGTTTGTATCTTTTATTGATGACCATACTAGAATTACCTAGTTCTTTCTCACGAGAGAAAAGTCTGAAGTGAGTCAAATATTTTAGAGATTTAATATTATGATTCAAAACCAGTTTCACACTACAATACGAGTACTGAAAACCAATAATGCATGTGAATACTTTGAATCCACTCTAGGAGAATATCTTAATAATCAAGGTATCTTCCATCAAACCTCTTGTGTATACACTCCACAACAAAATGGCATAGCCGAAAGATAAAATAGACACATGCTTGAAGTTGTCAGATCATTGATGTTTACAACCCATGTTCCTAAATTTTTATGGGGTGAAGTCATTCTTACCGCTACCTACTTGATCAATCGAATGCCCACTCGAATATTAAATTTCAAAACTCCTTATAAAGCTCTCATTCAGGTATTTTTAAAATCTCATGTTTTAAACACTATCTCATTGAAAATATTTGGCTGCACCATTTATGTTCACATTCACACTCATCTCAGGGGGAAACTTGATCCAAAGACTCTTAAATGTGTGTTTGTTGGTTAATTTTTCAAATAAAAAAGGATACAAATGTTTTTTTCTCAGGTACTCATCGTTTTTACAATACTATGGATGCAACATTTTTTGAGAATCAACTATTTTATCCCACAACTAATATTCAGAGGGAGAATTTCACTCAAGAATATCAATTATGGGATATAAGCCCTCTTCCATCTCAAATCCCGTTGATATCTTCCCAAAATATTCATATCCACGAAATCACAGAAAAAATGGAATCCACCATAAATACTAATGACATAGATACTGATGGCACATTAACTGCAAAAAGTAAATTACGAGTCTACACGAGAAGAAATAAGACTCAAGATAGTAGAATTTCTGAATCAACCATGCAAAGTCATGGGTCAACTTCTGGACCGAGCACTCATAATACTACAGGTAATGAAATTTCTGACTCATTAGTTAATATTGACACTATGTCGGACTTCCTATTGGTTTGAGAAAAGGTGTCTGGTCTTGCACCATGTATCCTATACAGGATTATGTGTCATATGTCGAGTTGTCTCCAACATACAAAGCACTTGTTAGTAAGCTCGATAACAACATTGTCCCAAAAACTGTTCATGAGGCACTTGAGTTTTCAGAATGGAAAGCCGCAATCTAAGAAGAGATCACAGCACTTGAGAAGAATGAGACACGAGAACTATCTGTTCTATCTTCAGAGAAAAAGGCTGTAGGGTGCAAATGGATTTTCATCACAAAGTGTAATCCTGATGGAACTGTGAGCCTTCATAAAGCTCGCCTTGTTGCCAAAGGCTTCACTCATTCATATGGAATTGACTATTAGGAAACTTTTGTCCCAGTTGCTAAACATAACACGATGCAGGTTCTATTCTCCTTAGCTTCAAACCTTGATTGGCCTCTTCATCAACTGGATGTAAAGAATTCTTTCCTCAATGGAGATCTAGAAGAAGAAGTTTACATGGAAAGCCCTTCTGGACTTAGCATTGGGTATAAGAATGTATGCAGATTAAAAAAGGCTCTCTACATTCTTAAGCAGTCTCTGAGGGCATGGTTTGAGAGATTCTCAAGAGCAATGAAACAGATGAGATATGTTCAGTGTCAGTCTGATCACACACTTTTTGCTAAAAACAGTGTCACAGGGAAAAAATCTATCATAATTGTATATGTTGATGACATTATCGTAATAGGTAATAATGATGAAGAAATTTTAAAACTCAAAAAGTTTTTAGTCAAAATAATTTGAGATCAAAGATCTTGGGTTGCTTCGATATTTTCTTGGGATGGAAGTAGCTCGATCTAAGAAAGGTATCTCTGTTTCAGAACGCAAATATGTATTAGATCTTTTAAAGGGAATAGGTATGCTTAGTTGTAAACTTGTAGGAACACTGATGGAGTGTAATGTCAAAATTGGTCTAAAAAATGATAGCAAACCTGTTGATAAAGAGAGATATCAAAGAGTTGTTGGCAAACTTATCTATTTTACTCATACCAGACCTGAGCACTGTAAGTCAGTTTATGGCTAAACCAACTGAAGAACATATGAGTGCTGTTTACCGGATTATGAGTTACTTAAAGACGACCCTTGGTCAGGAGTTGTTCTTCTAGAAAACAATAAACAGAGACATTGAGATCTTTACTGATACTGACTGGGCAGGATTAGTGACTGATAGAAGATCAACAATTGGCTACTGTACATATGTGTGGGGCAAGCTAGTCACTTGGCGAAGTAAGAAACAGTCAGTTGTATCTAGAAGTAATGTTGAAGCTGAATTGGGGTCGCTTGCTCATGGAATATGCAAAGGTGTATGGCTGAAAAAGGTTCTATATGAACAAAGTTTTTGTATTCCTAATCCTATGAAACTCTGATGTGACAATCAATCAATCATCAGTATGGTCAAAGATCCAGTGCATCC